TGTTTGCAATACTCTTTAAGATGAAGTGTCTCGATTTGCTTTAAGCCGTGATTTGACAAGTATCCTATATCACTGCTTGCCTCATTTATCAAGCTATGTAAGGCAGGAGTTATTGTTGCACAGGAATCAGTTAGATTCAAAGTCTGACTATCATTGGTTGCTACAGAGCATTACAGATGAATGGAACTATGCATAGTTATCTTCTCCCTGCACATCACCATGGAATGTGGTATCAATGGAGAAATCATAGTTAATATCAGACACGTATAATGATTTATGGCTGCCCTGTTTTAGGTGAGTTGACATTATCACATGGATTATACAATAACGTTCCTCAGCCCAGATTGGAGTATTCCAAAAAATTGGGCAAGAGAAAAGTTTGTTACCCTTAGAAACCAAAAATATGGGAAATAGGGAAAATTTGCTAGCATGCTATAAATGATGCCTTTTCATTTACACTAGTTTTACAGATTTCCCTCTAAAAGTCCTTATGTGACTGTCTGCAGTAAACAAAACCCCAGACACTCCAAAACACCTCAGTATATTAGGACTGCACAGCTCAAGACCAAGAGATCTTACACTAGCAAAGCCTTGAATGGGGAGCCCCCAATCATCTGAAATCTGTTCAATATGTTTTAGGGCATACATTAATAAAGTAACCATTGTTCTCCAAGTGGATGGAGTTTGAAAAATTGACTTTTGTTGATCCAGGTAGTGCCCACAGGGCAACCCACAGATCAAATTGCTGCCAATTTAGCCGGAAAGAGACACAATTTGATCTGTGTATGGCCAGCTTATCTCAGCACACAGGAAGGGAAAAAGTAGATTGCTGGTTTGAGTTTTTCCAGCAACAGGTATAAGTCTCTAGATGAGTTGTTGAAATTCTTGTAATGTATAAAACTGAACAGTTTTTTTTGTTAAACAAGTTATACTTTAAATAAAGAAAACATTGTGCCATCTTGTAAATCTTAGTTAGTGACTTGTGTCAATAACAACAGTGCTCAGATTTAAAAACACATCAGACAAGTTTTAGCATTCTATCAGACAGTACTGTAATTCAAAGCAGCAAATAATTTAATAAATAAATTACATGGTTAACTTATACGCAGTGTATTTCCAGGCTAGCCACAGGCAGAAAATGAGTGAATGAGTACATTGCAGAAACTGTACAATTTGTGCATTGTATTATTATAAAGTTACAAAAAACAAAAGAACAGCAGAAATTGAAATTACACTGATTGAAGTCACTTTACAACAACGAATGGTAACACCTTTCATGTCTTACATAGAATACAAGTTGTATGAATGAATGTAAGAGCCTATATATAGTTGCAAGCGAATTAAGTTCACTACGTCACCAGTTTCCCAACAATTGGATGACCAATTTCTCAAGTATTTATAATGTAGCCATCTACTAGTGAACTAGAAGCAACATTGGCCTTTGAAAGTTAATAGCTAAACTGATGATTTTATTAAAAATAATTGAGAAAAAAATTGGGGGACTAGAACAAAACCATCAAACTCATATAGATGAAGATGTTTGGTAACAGAAGTTGTGTGTGCACATCTTGAAGTGAACACTACCTGGTAATGAATGGCTGGCTGGAATGAAGAGCCTAGTTTGGACCAAGTGTCAGTTTATAAGTCAGGTATGATCCATTCTTGTCATTCCTTCTGTATATCTCTCACCTGCTGTAGATTAGCAGATTATTATAAGGGCACAGATCAAAATTACATGACAGTAGATTGAATTTACCATGAGTGGAACATGCTTAAAATATACAACCAACATCATCATCAAAATGAAAATAGCACTTATCAAGAGACACAAGTAACAATATTCCATACAGGACAATAACTGCATCAAATAAACCCTCATGGTATTGTCACACATTCACTGTGTCAACTAAAGTTGACCTGTCACCAACATATTAAACATATGGAAAAAGACACATAAAGAAACATACTAGACTTACATGGTGTGTATCTTCTTATTTAACCATTAAGTATTACATTTTTGTTAAAAGGGGGTTTTCTAGCTTATCTGAGGCTATTGGTAATGAAAGGATCTAGAGTTATGCTGTCTTATCCTAACTGAAATTAATTTCTCTTCCATGGTCTCCATTTCTCCTGCTTTTGAAAGGGTAACCTGCTTAACCAAATCAGCATTTTGTTCTGCTTTCAGTCCGGGGGTAGCCGATCATCAAGGTGCGCTATTCTTGACAGTCTAAATTAATCTGATTGTTCTGGTGACTAGCTTACAGTTTTACAAGGGCTCATATTGGTTTAATGTACTGGATGAACAGATAACCATATAAAAGAATTCATTAGGCTCAATTCAAAAGCTTTAAAAACAAGGATGAAGATGTTTATTTTAGCCACGTGGCATAATTTTCAAATGTCATTGGACTGTCATTTTTTTTTTTTTAATAAGGATCCTTATCCTCATGTTAGCTTTTTGAATTGAGCCTATTGTGTGTACCACATTACAAGGTGGCAGTGTTGGCATTTCTAATTTGGTTGAACAATAAGCAGCACTGACCATCATCTGAGTGGAAGCAATTTAGTCATGACTGTCAAAGAAAGGGAAAATCCCTCAGATGGGCCATTATGGATGTCTATAGTGTTTAGTTCACACAAGTAAATAAACAAAAAAGCAGTAATACTGATTGAACAAAATGAAAACATTTCTAATACAATCAGACTCTTGTCCTTTATGCCAGGCCCTATAGTAATAGGTGTTGTATGAAACTTACAATGAGGCAGTATTTAAAAGCTCAGATACTTGCTTGTGTTGTTGTGTTTATCAACATTAGGGAACAAATTAAAACATTCTAGCAATGACAACCAACTTTCTTGCCCTCCAAGCATGCATTTACAGAAACGTTACTTAGGGCATTTCAGATTAGACGCTCTCTGACGCTGTAACTAAGGAATATGCTGTATGCTTTGCATTGGGCCATCATCCACAAACATTAATGCAGAATATAAACTAGAATATTCATCAACATGTCAATGCAATACCCTTGGGAACTGTTCTACAGATTCCAGATACTAAACTCGCCCTTCCCAATGCATGTGATCAAACATCTCACTTAGGGGTGATTCATAATGAGTTTGCCCGGCATAAAGCTGGGCAAATGACGTTCACAGGGCATGGCTGCCACTAGATGAAGCAGGGGAGCATTCTTGTGCTCCTCAGCTCCATTTAGTGGCGTTAAAGCAGTGTGAATGTCATTTGCCCAGTTATATGCTGAGCAAACGCTTTATAAATCAGTTCCTTACATATACAATCAATTTGATAATCATTACTGCCCTTATGACTTTGGGTTTACAATTTTCTCATAGTTTTGGTTTTAAGTATAAAAAAAAAGGGTTAAAAGAAACCTGCACTTGGAGAACTATGCAGACTGTCATTGCTGACTTCCCTCTGAAAATCCTAGTTTCCTGGTTATATCTGGCTTCTCTATTTTCTAAATGAGTAACCTAGAAATGCATGCAGTAAGTAAAATAAAGTTTATACATTATCCTTGTTCCAGTTCAGTGTAATAAAAGCCAGCATGATGGCCAAGCAAACTAACATTTTAGGGGAAGTTAGCAAAGGCAGAGCACATTTTTTCTTGAAAGTAAAATACGTTTTTAGGATTTCCCTGTGTACACTCCCTGAGGAGGTTTTGAGCTGTGTTCTTCATGACAGACTGTTACAGTGTGTGATTCCAGGGGCCACTTTGCTCTTTGGAAACAGGGGGGACACTTTTATCAAGCACATTAGTTGCACAACTAGATGCAAATCAGGCTGCCTCTCATTTAGGAAAGTATATGCGACAGTTTTAGGCCCTTTTCACGCAATCTGATCAGAAGGGGATCCATGCACGGATACGCTGCTGATTGGAACCCATGTTAGATGTACCCATGTTGGTCTGTGGGGAAATCGGGTGTACAACAGACCGTTTACATCAGATTACCCCCAATCCGGCACGATCATGTCTGCTGAAATGCAACTCTGATCTGTATTTCTGGACCTGGCCAGAGCCATGGGTAAGCAGATGTAAAGGAGCGCCTGCCCATAGACATTGGGCTTCCAATTAGATCCGCCTGAAAAACTGACAGGTGGACCTGATCAGAAAGCTCATATGAAATGGGCCTTTGTATGTATGGGTGATCCCTGTGCCTGTAATCTTGGCCAGCAAACTGATACACATCTGAAGATCTGTAACAGATTTAGCAATAAATAAGAGACAGAATTTTACTCCATATGAACGCACATAATCAGGATGGTCAGGGGCAGGTTTAATTTTGCCACAGTGCTACTTTACAGCAGCAGAATCCAGAATTTATGGATGAAGCTGAACTCCTAAAAAAATCAACCCCGTAATTTGTATTGTTGCTCCTGTTTAGCGCTGCCTTGCCATATGACAAAAACTGACATATGTCCCCCAGGTAGAGGACTTGCGTACAGATCATCTCTGACAAGCAGTGAATTCTGAATAGTAAGCAAGGCAACACTATCTCTGCAAAAAGAGAGGTAAAGTAATAAAAAATAAACTAAAAGAGTAAATTACAGCAAATATTAAAACAGTAAATGCTACCTTAAGAGGTGTATGGATTGTGATCTCTCTCTTCCATACAATTTTGTATTTCATATAATTCTCAACATCTTTTTTATAATGCCTAGAGAATAAAAGTAGCTTAGGGAACATTATCATAGCATTTAAAAGCCTTTCCTAACATTTAATGGGCTAATAGTTTTAAGGGGTTGGAGAAGGAGGGACTATTGCAAGTATGCCAGATTTACCTTGCATGCTATATCTAGAAAAACAAAAAGTCCCATGCCCTCTAGTTAGTTGGACCTTACAACTAGTTGGTTTCAGTTGTGGATCCTAAACAATAAATAAAAAAGGTATAATCAGATATACATAAACATGACATAAAAATAAAACGGTGTATGGCTTTTACACACTACTAGCTCTTCCAGAGAAATTCCGCCTTCATGTTTTTTCGTATTCTGTGAGCAATTAAACCTAATAGCATCATCTTAGCTAAACAAGGAGACTGTGCCATAATATTTTGACATGCTTAAATAGAAGAGAATGGAGAGATCCCTTGGTTTATTTTGCTAGCAGTGATTTGTGCCTCCCCCTTAATCATTTGAATTACAGGTTATAGCATCCTCTCTGCTACTGCAACATATTATTCAGCAGGAACTCCCTTGCTGTGCACAAGCCAACAGAAACTGTCATTCCTCCCTCCAGAGAAACAGATTAAAAATAGAGCATTGCTAGCTTGTGCACTGGAAAGAATAAATTGAGATCGGTTCCAGCTCTGTTATACATAAAGAAATAATGCCTGCAGTCAAGTATTGTACGTAAAGAGCTTTTAAACCTTTTGATCAAACAGGATAAATATAATCAAAATGACTCCTTGAAGGGGCTGCTTCACCCCGTGGTGGTGGATCCATACCACCAGGCAGAATAAGGCATGAAGCGGGTCGTCTACTCCCTCTTTGATTTTCCCTTCCGCTTTTTCCGTCCATTCTCTACACCAGGTTTGTGGTGTTCCACCTTGTGTACGACACCATTGGCGTATGCTCCTCCGTTTGTAACCGCTTTCCCGTTTTGGACAGGTTTTCCACTCCGTGCCGATCCCTTGGGCTCTTTGTATGTCCGATAGTAGAAGTTAGCAAAGAGAAATATGAAGGTGACGGCATATACAATCAAAGCCCAATGCATCCATTTTGGAAAAGGACAATCAATGTAGAGAGATAGTGCAGTATGGCCAATAGTGACATGGAACTGGACCTACAATCCAATAAGAAACCATAAAAGATTACACTCTGTATGAAGAAGAAATAATTTACAGTATCTTTCCAAGTATGTTTAGCATAACAGTTCATGGTAGAGTTACATTAAAACCTAGCTCTTGTATCATCTGCTAATAGAGTATATATTGTCTAAAATACATTGACATGTTTTAATAAAATGGAATAGATCCTGAGTGGAAGCACAATGACCCACCACCTTTTATTTAAAAATAAAGACTGAATTTACTTTGTAATGCTCTCTTAACATTTGATATCAATGTAAAATCAGTATTCTCGCCTCCTTGGCACTCTCTGTTAGAGTGGAATGTGTGCTTTATTTAAAGGTAAATACACTTCCTCAAGTACAGGCTAAGTTTCACTTAGCGTGCATTAACTACAAACAAAAACAAAAAGAAAGAGCAATTTACCAATTGTAAAATTGTCAAGTATCGCTTCCACCATAGATATTTCTGGAGATGTGGTCCACAAGCAGCTAAACCATAATACAAATACATCACGACGTGAATCGAGGCGTTCATATGTGCACCGAAAAAGGCTGCAAGGTAATAGACAATGTATATAGTTATCAAAAAGGTAATGTGGCTGATGGAACTCACATGGTCACAAACAGATTAATATATATTCTGAAAGTTTAAATATGCAGTGCTTATAAAACACCATGATATTTAAAGGGTCAGTCCACACAAAGTTACATTTTCTATACTGACCATATGATCCTCCGAGATTCATTAAAGCCCAGGTGCTGCGAGACAGAGGGCTCTCTGATGCTGTCACTTCTACCATGCTTCAGGCCCATAAACCATTCTATCAAAGAGTTTACCAGTATACCAGGAAGGCTGATATACCCCATACATTTTTAGCTGGCCAGGCCAGGTTGGTGAATAAGAATAAGAATATGTGAAGATTTTTTTCCCCAGCAGTCTATAGTTACCAGTTACTTGGTTCATACCATTGTACAGGGGGTTACTTGTGTTGCTCCTCCCCTAAAACTGAAATTTCAGCTTGGTGCTTTTGGTTCTCCAGAAGTCTCCAGTTCCATTTTGTTATGGAGATTTCTTTGCTTATCTTGTCGCAGAAGGTCGCATTCCTAGTAGCCATCAGAGTGAATAAGGATTCTGAGCTAGCAAGACTCCATTCTATGTTCTTTACAAAGTAAGGGTAGCTTTTGAGACCTAAGCCCTCCATTTTTGCTTGATGTGCATGGCGAAAATGGCAACCTCAGAGAAACCACTCAGCACTTAAGTTTTAACAGCCATACATGAAGAATTACTGTGCTGTGTACTCCAATAAATGAAGGCGAAACTGATATTCTAGTTTTTGGTATATGCTGTGGAGATAAACCTTCTAATGGCTTATTGTATCTCTTATAGGACTCCTGAGACTCAACTTGTAGGATTTCTGTCTCTACATTGGCTTGGAATGGGATATAGGGGTATTTTTCCGTATTATAGAGAATACAACAGGAGCAGGAACAAACAAAGCTGAGCGGAAATACACCAGACTCCAGTATGTGCAGGAACAGAGCCAAGAACTACAAAAAGGAGATCATATAACTGAGGCCCTTAGGTTAACAAATAGTTTTGGATAGACTGACCCTTTAAAGAGAAAAAACCCCACAAAAATCAACTCATCTTAGACCTGCCATTTCCTGACCAGAGGCTCCATCTATTACAACCTCTGCCGAGTCTGCTAAATTGTCCGCACCTGGGAACTTCATATTTATGTATATTGAAAGTTTCCAGGGAAGAAATTAGGCTGCTTTTTAAGAAAGGTGTAATAAGGGCATAGTCAATCAGAAAATAGATGAATTGAACAAATTAGACATTAGGCAGGAAACTGGGGAGAGTTTTTATACACACAGCTGACATTGTGTAAATTATTAATCCAAGAGAAGCAGTAAAGTAATGCACCATGGAAAGAACATTTGGTGTCAAATGGAAACCTATCACTAGAGAAATGTGATAGCAAGTTGCACTGTCAATGTTTTTGTGTACCTTTTACATACATTTCCTTTTAAAAAGGCACAAAACAGATTTTATTAGACCCAACCTACCGAAAAGTAGTATTTCAATTAGGTTGGATACAAGCAGGTTGAACAGTCTACTGGCTTCTTACATGTTATAGGGTTTTCAGGGGCTCCATTTTTGCATTTTAGCTACCTGGGTCTCACACAGCTGGATTTATTGTATAACATTGAGAAGGCAGTAGTAGGGGATGGGTTTCCAGTAGAGCAATAGAATCCCAAAAGAAACAAAATACAAACCATCAGGAAAAAAAAATACACAATTTCAGAAACCAGCAGTAAGCAGTATTGTGTTGAACAGGATAGGAAAAACATTTGTGGACCATGATATTATATGAGGCTACTAAGGGTACAGTGATACATACATTGTCCTCCAGCGACCCACTTGATTCCGATCCACCACAAGGTAAACATTGTACAGTGATGGTACACATGGAGGAAACTAATGTGATTAAATTTCTTCCTCAGTATAAAAAATACTGTGTCAAAGTACTCCACTCCTTTAGAGACATAATACCACCAGAGAGCAGACGCAACCTGTAACAAGTAACATGGAGAACAGTGAGCGAGAGGAGCACAAGAAATCCAGATAACATGTATACATCTTAAAACATAGTAGTTACTAAATATCATTCAGCAGCTCAGCTACTCAGAAAGCAAGATCTCCACACCTCAGTTTCTAGGGCTACCTACCCAGAAGCGGGTATTGTCATTCTTTCATATTATAGAAGATTTCAGGAAGGAGAGATTACATCTATAGCATCCCCTTAAAATTCCAAAGCTGTTTTAGAGAAACAACCCTCTCCATATGAAAACACTCACCTTCTTTGGAGTTCACGTGGCTAGCACAGTCCCTAAGGTGCAGAAAAAGTATGAGACTCAAAAAACCCAAATATAAATGAAAGCTGGTATCCTTCGGTATTCCTATAGCCATAAATGTCTGCTTTAACAACTATATGGTGCTGTGCATATGGCAAATGTATTGTCTGCATTCTTCTTTCTAGAGAACAGCCATGTCTCCCAGGCCAAGAAGTAAGCTTTCTGGCATTCTAAGAATTGACCTCACCAGGCACAAACATTTTTTTATTACAATATATTTTCACATAGTTACACAATGGTCATGGAAGTGTGTATTGTTTTCAGGCTAACATCAGGAGTTCTTTAAATGTATATTTACACTTGCTGTATTCCTTGCTAAGCACAATCCACACTGACTGTCAACACCCTGAGCCAATTAAAGCTCTGTTGGTTCCAAAGACAGGAGAGCACATGGATGACCTCATCAGTGTGCAGCTGCTCCTTTATTGTTCTATCACAAACTGGATGCTGGACAAAGCTGTAGAGGTACAGGACCTAGCAATGCTGTCTGACAGGGTCTTCCGGATCACAAGCCAAGCGTAACACTCAAGTCTCAAATGTTTAATCTTGGAGTCAAAAGTAGGATTTAACTTGTATGACTAGACATCCATAAACTGTAATATTATTTTGAGGGAAGCTTCTTCTTCAGTGTTCCACAACATGCATTTCTTATAATAATCTTATTTTTCACATTGTAAGCCATTAATCAAATACAATACTTACTCTGACTTCATTCTCATCATCAGAATAATCTACAGTTTGACATATGTAACTGTATCCTGCTGCCCTGGCTCCTAAAAATAGCTGCAAGGTAAAAAAAAAAAAGAATCAAAAATTAGACTTTTCCATTGGGGCAATGCAAAGACTGAAGCTGAGTGCAGTAACCCACAATAGTTCAGTTTGCTGTAGTCAGTGAATGGAACGTTTGATGTTCACTGTAACTCACTGTATTCTATATATCACTCTTTAAATGAGCAGCTGCAAGGCAAAAAATGGTTATATTCAAGAAACAAAAGATATATAGAATGGCTAAATGAAATATAAAAAAAAAAGAAGAGAGAAATACAATAAAAAAACTAACTATGGAAAATAAGCATTTTTTTCCCCACAACGGTTTGGTTCTGTATATGATGGAATACAGATAAATCAAAGTGACTGTAATCCTATTTTGTCTTCAAGCAGGGTTACAGTATGGTAGAGGTAGTATCTTATATATCTTGAACCTGCTAAGTATATCATGTGGCTTCTGCTAATAAGTGATGACTGCTTCTAAATGGCACTCTTTCAGATAAAATGAACAAAATTGTTTCTTTTCATAAGATCTCTGCTTAAGTTCTTGGGTCTATGCATGTGCTGTGTTGATTATGCAGGGCCCTGACACCCATTGGCTTTTCAATCTATTTACCATTATGCAGAATGCAACAGGAAATGTTGGAACACACAAAAGGTAGACGGAACATCCAAAACTCCTAGGCAGATAAGAACAGTATTGGGAATTATGGCAAAGAGATCTTGCTGCTGGAATATACGAGACACGGAATGGACTGATGTAGCCGGACACTAAAGACTGCATCCATAATTAAAGTATAACTTTAAATGGACCAGCCGTTTAAATGAAGCGGGGAAAAAATGCGAGGCCTGTGCAATGATTCAAGTCTGATCTACAATAGCGTGTCTGTACAGAATTGCAGGACATGATGCAGCCGACTGGGCACAGCTAAATCCATCACAGGTATCATACACAGAAAGCTGATGTGCTTTATCCGCTGTGGTTCAGCAATTTATCACAGCTACCAGCAACCCCAACAGAACTGGATGATTAAAGAGTCAATATACTTCTTTGTCATATGTAGGGGCTATATGCACAGTAGCTTACCTACCAACACTCCTTAGTTTCAATATTTCATTCTAGCAGAAAGGTTCTTCTGTAGCAGTCTCTTCCTTTTCCTTGCGGCTCAGCCAGAACAGGGAGACTAAGTGAGTGGTGCAAATCCTATGCGCCAATATTCACATTTAGCACTGCCAACTTCCTACTGCCATGGCTTCCTGAAACTGTGTCACTTTCCCACGGCTAAATAGACCTGTCCCAACTACCAGCAAGGCTGATCAGTCTTTACATGCCAGGACTGCAAGCATGGCAGTGTTTCTTTATACACTATAGCACATTAGCAGCCATTTTGTATACATTCTTTCTGCCTCTCTTTGTACCATTAATGGAAAATAACCAACAATTCAATGTATCCTAGTTTAGAAGCTGCAAACTTTGGGCTAACTATATAAAACATAGCTGTACTGTATATGTCATAATATATACAGCTAGTTATAAATTACACATAAGTCACAGGGGAAACTGATGGGGACACTAGACCTACACGTGGGCATTGCATATAGGAAAACTATGTACGGCTGCAACTAATTATTATTTTCATAATCGATTAGTTGGCTGATTATTTATTTGATTAAATCGGATAAAAACACAAAATACACAAATGCAGTGTTACAAGCAAAGTTTACTGCAGAATAAAACTGCATGCACAATTTTTTGCAATCACACTGCACTGGAACAAATGACAATGCGGTACCCAGCGTTCCAGTGCGGGTTGATCACACTGTGGGTGGGAGGCGCATTTAGGGAGCAGTTGAAATGAATGGCACTTCAACGCACCGCCCGCAGCACAATTTGTCAGGCCGAAACCAAAAATGACTTTTCCCACCTTTAATAATTTTGTTTTTTTTAATAATTGTATTGTAAGCACATGGCGCTTGAATAGTTTCAGCCAGGGAATGACAGTTGCCAGTGGCAAGATTCAACACACGGCAGCTGAATGTAAATACAGCAGGTAGTGGGCTGGTGCAATAGCCTACTATTGGCCATTTAAAATTGCAATAGCAGGCAGGCTATTGCACCTGCCCACTGCTTGCTGTGCCCTCCTCCCAGTGTGGAGGAGAGAGCTGTGAGATCCAACCAACTAATCGATAATGAGATTAGTTGACAACCATTCTCATTATCGATTAATTGGTTGCAGCCCTAAAACTATGTATGGGGACACTAGCTTTGCATCTAGGCACCATGCATAGGGAACAAGCTGTGTATAAGGGCCATGAGATCTTCCATCAGCAACTGTATTGTAATACCCTCAGTCAAAAAAAGCAGATGATTAGTGAGCAGATGATAAAGTCTATTCTAGTGAGGACAACATGGGTAGTGTGTAAAAAGGGGTGAAATATAGAGAAACCTTAGAGTCAAATATGATGGCCAGTTTCTTTCTTAATGTGCACACAGTAGCAGATGTACTTTGAGACAAGGCAAAATGGACACCATAAAATGTGACAAATGAAATAATCGAACCTCTTTAAATATAAAGAAGTTCAGGATAACCATCCCAAAGTTGTAGGCAATCAACAAGTAGCGTAATTGGAAAGGTTCTCGATTCTTCATAAATTTGGGCCCCAGCCATACAACGAGGAGATAGAGAGTGCTGATAGCCAGTGTTGGCAGTGGAGATTGCATCAGTGGCCATTTTTCAACGCGTTTATCTGTTGAGGGGGAGAAAAAAATGCATCAATTAACACCATCATTCTCTGTATCATCAGATTCCAAATAAAGAATTTTAAGAAATTAGCAATTTGCACCTTTCATCCGCTAAAGATAATTGGTACCAACTGTGGCATGGAGTGATGGAGAGGAATGCTTAAAAGTGACTCATGAGAAACATATGGGGGCTGCCATTGCTGGTCATCTTCTGAAAATGTGAGTTGCTTTGCTGTGTCTGGCTTTAATATGTGTCAGTCAAAGAGCATGCTGTAAACGAGTGTCAGAAAAGTGTCAGAATCTCTTATCTCTATATTTATTCCAGGTCAGAGACTTAGAAAGCACTGGAGCCGAAGCATCTACATGACAGCCATGGAACAAACATTCTCAAAACAGATCAGCAATGGCAGCCCACATACCTTTCTCTTGGCAGAATCAATTTAAATTCACAACAAGTTTGAACTTCTGATGAAAGTGTGGTTTTCATACCTTGTATTTAATGCTAACATTATATTTTTATGTCTTTAAATACTTCTATATCACAAGCAGGGCCCTCCTACCTCCTGTACTGAAATTGTATTGTTAAATTGTATTGTCTCCCGCAGTTTTGTAAAGCGCTGCACAAACCCTATATAAATCCTGTATAATAATAATATTATTATTGTCTTCATCGTACTTTTTTCAGCCCTGGTTTTTCTGACGTGGGCATACCCACTGCACTTTTCCCTTCCCGCCTCTTTTTTGTTATCTATTTCACTGTATGCTTTTTTAATGTTATATTTCTTTTTTTTCACACCATGAAGTCTTACATATCTCTATACTCAGATATACAAGGGTTAAATTAAAGGCAATTAGGCTGTTCACTTTGCAAGGGAATTTTCACTTTCCGCTGGCATTTTCCTTTAGCTTAGTGAATGAGGTAACATTCTGCTGACCGTCAACATTCAATCATGTGCAAGCAAAATACTTTGAGGGGAATTTATCAATTTTATCAAGCACCCGTGTATGACAACCAATCAGTATCTCTCTTTCATTTTCACATCTTGACTGAACAAACTGAAGAGAGAAGCTGATTGGTTACTATGGGCAACTGCTCCGATTTTTATCTGCTCCAGTTTTGATAAATTCCCCTCTTTCCATTTCCATTGCATGTGAATATGTATTCTTTGCAAAGTAAATTTTTACCACATTCACTAAAAAGGTAAGGAAAAATAACTTTTTCAAATTAAATTTAATGTCTAAGGAACATTTAAAATCCTTATGAAAAAAGAGTTACAACAGAAAACATCTTCAATGAAAGCTCTATAGCAAGAATAGTATAAGCCAGTGAACCCTTTTGCTCTTATCTCCCATTCTGCAACAGGTGGTTGGTGGACCATTTTTGCAATTTTTCACTTACGCATGAAGGGCAGGTTCACACCATTTTCCGGACCAGATCTGGTCCAGAAAATGGTGTAAACCTGCCCGCAGTTCCAGTGCATTCCAGACAAGACAAAATGAGACATGCAGTATTTTCTGGTCTGGTCTGGAACGGACTGCTGTGGTGAGAAAAGAGGCCAGAAATAGCGTAGGGATACATTAGGATGCATTTTGGGTCCAGAAACAATCTGGTCTGGTGATTATCTGGATGTGGTGTGAATGGGCCCTAAAGCCTTGAGTAAAAGTCCCCACCACACCTAAAACCAAGATGTGTGGAATAGTTGGTACTATTGATTTGGAATATCACATGATAATAGCACAAAATATTTATCAAAACAATATTTTCAATAAAAAAAACACTATTAAACAAACAAAACAATATTTTCAAAATTGCTACTAAATAACTAAAAAATAATAGTTACAAAACAGCAACTTTTTATTTTGAACCATTAAAATGGTAGGTACTGTAAATAAGTGATGTATGCTAAAAAAAAAACCTTAGTTATAGCAAAATCCTCAGTCCAAACGATGGCTTTGCACTACTTAATTGCAGTAACACATAGTAATATACACTGACTGGACAGATTATTATGACCACCTGACGTTTGTAGGCAAATTAGCTTTATTGGCTATAATTTTGCACTGAAGTTGCTAGAGGGCCAGACCATTATAAATAGGGAAGCAGGTTGTTTACCACGACAGTAGAAGTGATTTTTTTCTGAAGATATGGGTAAACAACGCGATTTAACAGCCTTTGAACGTGGGATGATTGTTGGCGCTCGGAGCCATGGAGCGAGCACCAGCAAAACAGCAGAATTTGTTAAATGTTCAAGAGCAGCTGTTGTTAAAGTGTTTAAAGACTGGACTGCCAGCCGAAAATCTGGGTCTGAACGTGCGAATTGTGGCCGTCAGCGACTAGTCAATGTTAGGGCAGAAAGGAGAGTGGCAAGCCTGGTACAAGACAACAGAAGGGCAACAGTGCAGTGTCAGATTCCTCGCATCACCTTTCAACATCTCGTGGAGTCACGAGGCGGCCCAACAAAGTAATCTTGTGGAGTCATATCGTGGCCCAACGAAGTACTGATGGGGTGGTCATAGTAATCTGGCCACTCAGTGTACATGCACATTACAAGAACACAGGTTAAAGTAAAATACTTTGTGTAGTAGGTTGCCTCACCAATAATTTAAACATGTGGATGTGATCAGCAGCCATTTGGCTGCCTGATCACATTTACAAAGCTGTGTACAGAAGCCAAGTTTACATACTGTGTGTATTTGAACCGACCATGAGCTTACAAGCTTAAAAAAATGCAGTGGATGAAGAGTAGAAATTTTATATGTACACAGAAGTCTATCACATTTTCCTACAATGGGCAACGTGTTTAATCCTGTTAAAAGCACACAAAACTTAAGTACTACAACTTAATATTAATTTAACAGGATTCTATTAGAAAATTAGCATTTTTTTTTTTTTTTGAGGGTCCCAAAACAGAAAGATAACAGGCTACGGTCACTGAAACCATTCACTGACAATTGGAGCCTCAACATATAAATGGTCAAGTATATATTTGCTAGAATATAGTGCATATTGGCCTGCATTCACCTCATCATATCAGGAGACATGCGGCACATTAACCAGAGCAGCAAGGTCATTTAACGCCCCCACAGAAAGGGAATATGTAGCGACCAAAATAGTCTCTGGTGATAGGAATTATTTGATTGGCTGCAGGTACATCTATTTTTACTCCCTTCAAATCTAAAGACATCCATTTATAGTATGCAGCTACATCAACTTACTTATAGACCGCTTAATCATTTTAATTTGTCCCTGTCCCAGTATAGTTTATTGTTTCAAGTCCTTCTAATTTTATCAAATGCACAACTTTTATCAGAGGCCATGAACGATCATCCAAGGCCTCAAGTTCAAATTCAGCTTCAAACTATTTTCTTTTTAAGCACTATTCCACCAGAACTAACACACAAAGCTGTAAAATATGGCAAACTATGCAGATTTTGCTGGTACTATTTCTATTCTCTAAATTCCTGGTCCACTCTTGCCTCCTTCCATATTGGCCACCTCAGTGAAAATGATGTGCACCCTGCTCCTGTAGCCTTCAGGGATATCCTCATCACATATCCCCGCAGGCTTCAGCTGAAGCATCCTCTCAGCGTCCATGGTGTCTCACTCTTCCCCCTCAGCGTCGATCGGTGTCTCTCAGTCTCCTG